CGCAGTCATGTTTGGTGGCCGAAAATAGATCAGGAGATTGAAAAGGTTACCCCTGAATGTCAACCGTGCAGCAAAACCCGCAGGGCTCCTCCAGCCTCACCGCTTCTTCCATGGTCTTGGCCGACAGCTCCATGGCAACGTGTTCACGTAGATTTTGCCACCCATCAGGCAAAACATTACCTCATCATGGCCGACGCCCACTCTAAGTGGCCTGAAGTGATTGGTCCCATGAAAACAACAACAGCCGACTCAACCATTAATGCCATGCGTAATATTTTTGCAAGATACGGTCTACCAACCCAAGTAGTCAGCGACAATGGGCCACCCTTCCAGTCTGCAGAGTATGAAGAGTTCCTGCGGCAAAATGGCATTCAGAGAATTTTAGTTTCCCCTTACCATCCCTCTTCAAATGGGTTGGCTGAGCGGTTTGTGCAGTCTTTCAAGTATGCAATGGAGTCATCAGCTGACGACCCCGCAGGCTCTATACAGCGGCGGATTCAGAATTTCCTCTTATCTTACAGAAGCACACCACACCCTTCAACCGGCTCATCCACCGCCAAGTTATTCTTACAGCGAGAACTTCGCACTCGATTGTCTCTGGTTACACTTGATATTGGATCTCGCATGGCCAGCCAGCAGCACAAAATGAAGTGCAATCACGACAAGTTTGCAAAACACAGGGAGATAGCTGTAGGCGACTGTGTTCTCGCAAGTGACCACCTATCGGGACAGAAGTGGCAAGCTGGTGATGTCGTACAGCTGCTTCCTTTCAAGTTCAGTTGAACGATGGACGGAATTGGAGGAGACATGTCGACGATGTACTTCAAAACACCCCTTGTTCTGCTGTGACTCATTCCAGCTCTGTCGAAGTTACATCTGATCAATCTACTGAAGGCGTCACTTCTCCCAGTATCGAAAGCCGTACACCCCCACCTGAAGAATCAGAGTCAGTGGAGTCACCAAGTACACCTACTCCTCCCACCCCTGCTCCGCGTTGGTCCAAACGTGCTACTAAACCACCACAGAGACTGATTGAAGAAATGGACTAAAACCATTAAATCTCGCCTTAATGACATTGAACAGTGATTTTAATAGTTTTGTTTCCTTTCTTGAACTTTTGATCATTTAGCGAGTTTCAATAGTTGTCTTGTACTTTAATTTCTTGTCAGGCACAACAATTCTGCGGGGAGGTGTTATAGTGTATCCTTACATTTGTTATAGTGTCAGTAATTCAAACTGAGCCCGCAGTATGTACGTGGTTACTGTAAAACCCCTGTGCTCTTTGATTAATACAGTTCTTCAGCTGATCCGCCATCTTGCGTGCAGTTGTCTGTTTGCCCGAGAACATAACAATCTTCTATCAATTTCTTCATTGCACGCTTCAGTGTTGCCGCCGAGTTAATCATTCCAAACGGCATCTTCAAGAACTCATACGACCCGTCAGGTGTTACAAACCCCGTTTTCGGTATGTCCTCCTCTGGTATAGTTATTTGCCAATATCACTTGCCAAGGTCAATTTTTGAGTAAAACTTGTCTCAATTAAGCTTCTGGAACAAGTGTTCAGCAGTTGGCATAGGCTCAGGATCAAATACAGTTAGTTTATTTAATTTCCGATAATCAACGCACACGCGGTTTGTGTTGTCTTTTTTCTTCACTACTACAACAGGTGACGCATAAGGAGAACTGGATTCTCTAATAACTCCCATTTTGATCATGTCAGTAATGTCTTTTCTCAGTGATTCTCTCATGCTGTAAGGTACTGGATAAGGTCTTGATCTAACCGGCTCGTATGAAGTGAGTTTAATATGATGCTGAACGAGATCTGTGGTACCTGGTACTTCAGTAAACAAATTCGTGAACTGTTTAGCCAGTTCCGTAAATTCAGTCCGTTGCTCGTCCGTAAGCTTTGGTCCAGTTGTAACGTCCTCGATTGACTCTTTGGCTACATATCCACCAAGCTCTAAGAAATCAACCTCTTCTCCCTCTGCTTCATCAACTTTAGTTGCACAGTCGACAGCATCGTCTATACTCGTAGCGCCTGCTCCAACAACTACTGCTCCTTCTACTATAGTCTCCTCTCGCTAAAAATACGTTTTAAGAAGGTTAGCGTGGTAAACTTTCTCCTTGTCTTTTACTTTCACTTTGTAGTCATTGAGACCTACTAATGAACTAACTTCAAAGGGACCTTTCCACTGCATAAGTAACTTGTTATTGTCGATGGGTAGCAGCACAAGCACTTTCTCACCTGGTTGAAACTTCCTAACTTTAGACTTGCGGTCGTAATAGTGCTTTCCTTTCTGCTGGGCGAGTTTAAGGGTATCTTCTAACTTCTCTCGCAACTCGAAAACGTATTGGTAACTGTCCTTTACTTCAAGCTCCTCAACTTCTTTCGTCCACAGCTGTTTGAGTATAGTCATTGGTCCTCTAACAGCTCTTCCATATAACAGCTCGAACGGCAAAAAACCTGTGGACTCTTGGGGGACTTCACGATAAGCAAACAACAGCGGGTTTATGTAGCGATGCCACTGTCTTGGCTGCTCACTACACAGTCTCTTCAGCATAGATTTCATTGTTCTGTTGAACTTCTCCGTCAAACCGGTACACATCGGTTGATAGGGCGTTGTTATAAGCTGTTTAATGCTTAGTAGTCGAGTGACTTCTCTCATGCAATCCGAAACAAATTGAGCCCAGATCACTCGGGATCTCTTCGGGTACTCCTAGACGGCGAAAGATATCCACCAATGCCTCTGCTACTGTCTCCGTATCAATGTTCTTCAGTGGTACAGCCTGAGGGTAGCGAGTCGAAAAATCTACCAGCGTCAATATGTACCTGTGTCCTTCTTCACTTGGAGGACTGATAGGCCCAACAAGATCTATTGCTACTCTCTTAAAGGGCTTGTCAATCAACGGCATCGTTTCTAACGGTACCTTCGGCACTGACCCCTTACTTACGGTCTTCTGACAAACATCACAGGACATCACCTTGAATTCCAGGCCAATAAAAAGCATTCTGGATCTTGTCTGTTGTTTTCTATATGTCCATGTGACTTCCCTGCTAGCAGGTTTTGCCTCGTCGTGAGAGACCTCTGCTAGCAGGGAACCATGTGACCACCCATGATTGATTCGTGCGCCACTTCTATTATCGGGCGCCTCAACTTTTCAGGTACCATGACTTGTTTAAGCGGTTTTCCACCATTCACATAAGGGTGCTTGTACAGACGGTACAGTACTCCACATTTTTCTTCAAATGAAATCTCCGCCTGACCCTTTTATTAGCACATCGTCTCGATCCCAGTACTTGCGCAGACTCTCATCTTCACGCTGCATCTACTTGAGCTTGTC